TCAAGTATCCTCAAATTCTGCGTATTAATATATATGGTGCACGAGGGCATAAAGATACGAATTGATTCGATTTCTCGTAAGAACACAAAAATAATCATATAGCTGCAGAAGCATGAATGAGATGATTTGCTTCTGAAGAGAAAATTAAACGAGAAGATCCTTAGAACCCAACACGTTAAGGGTGAATAAGTAGCGCCTAGGGGATGTATCCAAGCCTCCGTATACACATATTTTCTATTCTATTTACACTTAAATCATCTCCTTTACCCTAAATATATTATGTTAATGTTATACATATTTAGCCATGAATATCCAATTAATTTTATTTTCTTATAATTGAATTGATATAAGCAAATCATGCCACATGAGGAAGTCAGATGTAGGTAGAAAGGATAGGAGCTCGAGGTTTTGATTATTTATCAGCCATTTTATCTAAGACGACCAGTACCACACTTTGTTTAAGGTTACATAATGTTTTTGTAACTATATATTAATTAATTCATTGAATTGCAATACAATAAGGGGATAGTAATGGATGAAACTTAATCATATATGGGGACTATGTAACTGAGAAATTTAATTATCACTTGACAATGTACGATACTAATAATAATCTTTGGGTGATCCGAATCCAACACCAGGTTTAAGGGTGTGAAGTTCAGCTTGCTTCACGAAGACCAAACAAACATAACCAGTCAGCAACATAATATATCCGATTAATCATAGGAGTGAGTTAATCCGATCAAAAACGTAATTCGTTAAAGTATCTTATTTTTTTTTAAAAAATGAATGTAAAATTTTATTCAATTAAATACGTTTGTACAAAAGTATATTGTTTTTCAAACGTCCAATGAAAGCATCTAATTCGGTATGGAAGAGAGGAGATAGACTTCGTCTCATATTTCTTGAGTCGAACTAATAAGAAGTTTACGTCTTATCCTGAAACAACTACTACTAAACCACACTGCATTGAACATATTACGATAATTTGATAGACAATCTGAAACAACTTTACATTTTTCCCAAAGATAAAGAGAAATATTTTGGGTTCTTGCTTGTTGCTTTTAAAATAATTGGATATATATACGTAAGACGTTCGCGAACATGGAGGCGTGGACACATTCGTAAACAACAAAAGTTAGTGCTTTGGTACGCTGCATTCACATTAATTATTTCCCATTTCTTATAAAATACTTACTTATCTCTAGACAATAAATCGATTTGGCTCTGGTGAGATCGTCTTTACAACAAAGAATATATGCTTTAATTATATACAATCAAAACTTACATTTGTTTAATTGCATTTCCTGCATTTTCCAGCAATGCATGTGGTGTGCTTTATTTCTTTCTATTACTTAACAAAAAGCCTCCTACTTCCGTGCGCTTAAATTATATTAATCCAGGAAAAGACATAACATACTTATTCAATGAAAAATAAAAAATTAAAATCCATTGTTTAGTTTGAAAATTAAAATCCATTGAAAATTTGAAAGCTTTGACCCTTGAGCGGCGGTTGTAGACACGAACTAGTTAAATTGGATTGCTTTTCTAGTAACTTAAAATATTAGTAATATTTTAAAATTGAATTCCACATAAGTATTTTGCTATATTTTGGTCGATAATTAATATGGCCGGTTTACATGCATTTGCCAATGATACTATCGTTTTGTGAATTTGACCTCGCCTCCTATAAACCAGAAAAAAAAGTCAAAAGTCTCCTATAAACCAGAGATATAATTGCTGGTCAATTCTCCATAAACGAGATAGAAACTTGCACATTTTGGTCCAAGAAATAGCTACATATTATATGACTTTAATAATTAGTCAAAAGTCTTAAGACATGAATATGGTGTCAAACATTAATATAAAGGGAGGAATGACTATAGATCCCAAGGTGGTTTTCTAAGTCTTTCCAAAGACTTGTCTTCTTCTCCAACACTCCTTTATTTTCATCAGCACAAGGGAGGAATGACTATAAATCCTCTACCAGGTACTAATCACTTCTCTTCCTATCAAACGTGACACTTCTTTATCTAACCACCATTTATGATTTATTTCAATACTAATGAATCACGATGACATTCTTTCAAAACAAAAAATGAATCAGAATGACAATTTTACTCAATTAATAATACTAAACACTAATCAATTATTTGTCTCTAATGACTGCTGGTTTCTTTCCATGATAGGTTCATTAGCATGATTATTAAAACCTTGGATTTTATATGAGCTAATCAAAATAACTAGTAAATCTCACATGTCGAATCCACCATGTGTTTGTATATATCACAACACATCCAATGTATCAAGAAGAAAAAACACACACAAGATCTTTTAATGCTCCTCCTCTAAGAACCGTATTTAATCTCTCTGCTAACCGAATAATTAAAACTAATCCCCCGAATAATTAATCTATCATTCCATAATCCTGATTAACCCGGCGCAAGAAGCCAAAAAAGGATCACAGTGGCAATTTCTGTAATTCTTTCCAAATCCTGAGGGCATTATGTTACTCCCTTCACTATATATATATAATCAATCCTTCGTCCCTCCCCCAAAATCTCAAATCCCTCAACTTTCTCTCACTTTCTCGTCGTACTCGCAAATGGCCGGAGCTATCGGAAAATGCAGCAAGATCCGACACATCGTGAGGCTAAGACAGATGCTCCGGCAATGGCGGAGCAAGGCGCGGATGTCGTCAGTCAGACGATGTGTGCCGTCGGATGTGCCGTCAGGACACGTGGCGGTCTACGTAGGGAGCAGTTGCAGGAGATTTGTGGTGCACGCGTCGCATCTGAACCACCCTATCCTTAGGAATCTCTTGGTTAAGGCCGAGGAGGAGTTCGGTTTTGTGAATAATGGTCCGTTGGTTATCCCGTGTGAAGAATCGGTTTTCGAGGAATCTATTCGGTTTATAAACCGGTCAGGTCGGTTCGATTGTACCGAAGATCTGAAGAAGAACCGTCACGGTGGGATTAGGAGCAAGGTGGATCTGTTGATCGAATCTCGGCCGTTGCTTCACGGCGTATCCGAGAAGGTCATCATTCAATTCTGACCCGGTTTGACTCGGGTTCGGGGTCTACAGTGGCGGATACGCAGGAGATGGCCGTGAAAGGTGTGTCAGTTGATCCACCTGAGTCGTCCCGAATTCGAATCCGAGCTCAAGGAAAAATGTTGATTCTGCA